AAAAGGACTCGTCCACACTGTACGTCTGAAACACTATTTTTATTATAGTATATGATCTCATCAAAAAAAAAGTTTAGGTTCCTAAATTTAAAATCTTTAGGAATCTCTGATTAAACTATCCATTTGTTAGGGCAAGTTTAATCCACTGATATTCAAGAAAATTCAGATTGAGCTCACAATCTGCACCAATTAAAATATAATACTAATTACTTAAAGATTCCTGTTATTATTGTTGTTTTAAAGGGAAATCCTTATGGCTTCTTAAAGATTTATTTATTTTATATATACAAATGTTTTATTCCCGTGTATGTCTGTGCCTCATGCCTGGGGAAGATCCTCTGGAACTGGAACTACGGACAGTTGTGAGGTGCTAATATGGCTACTGGGAATAGAACCCAGGCCCTCTATAAGAAAAAGTGTTCTTAATTACTGAGCCATCTTTCCTGCTCTGTTGCTTTTTTGTTTGTTTGTTTGTTTTATAGGGTATGAGTGTGATTGAGGTGTGTGTGTGTGTGTGTGTGTGTGTGTGTGTGTGTGTGTGTGTGTGTGTGTTACTGGGTTGTTCTAGAATTATTTTCTAGGCAGAACTGATAAAGGACATCTGGGAACTTTTTCACCTCTGGCTGACTCCATCCAGCAGGTGAAGAGACTGCAAACAATGGGGCCAACGAAAAGACGCTCTTGAATAATGCAAACCCTAATTCTCAGCATCCGGTTAGGCAGCAGGTTTCAGTCTTGGAATCCCTGTTGTTTCTGGCTTTGATTTTCCTGTCCGTGCCAGTCTTGTATAGGAGAAATAGTTCTCTGCTTTTATGAGTTTTGCAGCCAGTTTTGTCTTTTTCCTTCTTGGTATTTGGAGACATACCAAGTTGTTAAGAAACTGCTGTTTCCTCAAATCTTCCAGCTCTTCTTTTTAAGCTTTTAAACATATTTTAAAATTTGAAGTTCTTAATATTCCCAACCCTGGCATTCTGTTCCTTAAGACTCAAGAAAAAGATCTTAGCTGGTTGTACTTCAGGATTTTCAAATATCTTAACTCTCTCATTCTTAAATTCCTTTCTGTGCTGGCATTTAATTCTTTTCTGAACCATTTTCTGTCTCTTCATAATTAATCCATCTACTGTGGAAATGACATTCATTTCATGGCTTTGAAGAAGATCATTAACTCATTCAAAACTTTTTATTCCAAATTTCTGTTGACCCAAAAGGACTTTCACAAAATGCTTCCTCTACCCCCATTCTTTCTTCTTACAGCATAATCTAATCTTCACTTGTTCACTGAATGCTATGCACAAAGCCTCCCAGGATTGAGTCTTTGCTTTGGTTTATTCAGGAATATGAATGTGATTTTATAAGAAGAAATTAAATATTTAGTGTCTTCCTTGGTTTCTGGCACAGAAATCATAAAATTCTTGCGATTTCCTGAGTGATGGGAAAATACCTTTATAAACAAACAAACCACCACCCCTTGCAGCCATAGCTGAGAGTGTGGAGATGACGTAAATCATGAAGGAGGAAAAGCCACCTCACCATTGACTAGTGAGTGGAATTTTCAGTCTCATCCCCTACCTCCAAGGATAGGAAAGAGGCTGAAATTGAGTTAAATCACCAAAAATAGTTTAATCATCGCCTCCACAAACTCTAACCAGTATGTCTGGAAAATTTCCAGGCTGGCAAGCACAAGAAGATCCTGGGGGAGAATCAACCTGCAGATGGCGTGCCAGTTCCTCATGCCTCCGCTATAGCTTAGCTTTCGCATCTCTTCTATTTGGGTTACCTTATGAAATTCGTGGAAACTGTTTTTACATGAACCAATAATAGCAAGAAAAATGTTTCACTGAGCTTTGTAAGTCACTCTGACAATTATTAGAGAATGCACAATTGATAGCTAGTGCATAGGTCACAACCCAAGACTGTGGCTGACATTAGCTTATGTTCAACCTAACCGATGAACATGTACTGCATGCATACAGACTCACAAGATGTGAGGAGCTGAAAGCACACACACTTTCCCAGGAACTGAACGTGGATGAACGTGTATAAACGTCTGTGCTCTGGGATGAACACTGTGTTATTTCTACAAAACAAAAGCAGTGAATTAGACAGGAGCTGAGACCTTAACATAAGAAAAATGTAAAGTAACATAAGGAAAAGTAAGCCTTTAGCAAGTGGAAGAAAACGCCTATGATAAACTGTGTAACTGGTGGAAAATGGCTGGACAAACACTGCCAGGAATGTCAGTGGGGATAGTGTCTCAGAATCATAGCTAAACCATGGAGGGGTCGGGGGAGGGTCTGTGGAGGGAGAGGGAGAGGACTGAGAGGAGGACAGGGAGTGGGAATTTGGATTGGTATTTTTTAAGTAATAAAAAATATCTAATAAAAAAAGAGATAAAATTCTTTCAGGGAGCTGGACATGGTAATGCACACCTTTAACCCCACCACTCAGGAGACAGACACAGGTGGATCTCTGAGTTCAGGGCCAGTGTGGTCTACAGACTGAGTTCCAGAACAGCCAGAGCTAAACATAGAACCCTGTCTCAAAAAACAAAAACACAAAGCAAAACAACCATCCTCAAGACCCAGCAATACCACTTTTGGAAATATAGCCAAAGGATGCTCAATCGTGCCACAAGGACATGGGCTCACTATGTTCATAGCAGCTTTGTTTGTCATAGCCAGGACCTGGAAACAACCTAAATGCCCCTCGACCGAAGAATGTGGTAAATTTACATAATGGAGTAAATAATGACATCTTGAAATTTGCAGGTAAATGGGTGGAGCTAGAAAACATCATATTGAGATAACCCAGACCCAGAAAAACAACTATCATATGTACTCACTTATAAGTTTTTAAACATAAAGCAAAGAAAACCAGCCTACAAATCACAATCCCAGAAAACCTAGACAACAATGAGGACCAAAAGAGACACATATGTGGATCTAATCTACATAGGAAGTAGAAAAAGACAAGATCTCCTGAGTAAATTGGGAGCATGGGGACCATGAGAGAGGGTTGAAGGGGAGGGTAGAGGAAGGAAGGGAGCAGAGAAAAACGTATAGCTCAATAAAATCAATAAAAAAAAAAATAAAGAAAAGAGAAAAAAAACACAAAGCAAAACAAAACATAATTCTTGCAGGGAAAGAAGGAAAGTTAAGCTAATAGAAGTCACAGAGCTCGGGAGGAAAGGGAGCTGATTACGACAGTAGAGTAAGCAGAGCCAGAGAGAAAGATGTCCAAAACATCCTCGGGGTGGGGGGTGGGGCAGCACTTGAGCTGATACTTAACAAAAAAGTCTCTGAAGCACTGAAGGTCTTGGGAATCACACACAGGAAGACCTGACACTGCACCCACTTAGTGTATCTCAGGCTGGCCAAGGAAGCCAGCGTGACAGGAGTAAATAAAAACAGCTTTCTTCCCCAGAAGGTGAATACAATAAATAAAGAAAAACACTCCTAATATGCAGAATTAGAAAATACACAATGGGATGAACACTTCTTCCACCTGCCAGTAGGAGAGTAAATTGGTGCATTCTTTATGACACAGGATGATTTGATACACACAGACTTGCAGACATGTACACCTATAAACAACTGGAAATGCTGGGAATGTCCATTCACAAATTAAATATAGCACACGCTCTAAAGGGGCAGTCTAAGAAGTCCGAGGTACCCTAGGAAGAAGCTCTGAACTCTGCAGCCTCAGCAAGCTTACCTCACACAAGAATATGATTTTTGTTCATCAATTTCAAACCTAGTACTAAATCACAACACACTACATACAGAGAGACATGCGATCCTAGTGGTTTCTCATCAGTCAGATACCAATGTTTGCATGAAAAAATATGAAACAATGTTACTTTCTCTTCCATGTCACTAACATTTGAAAATTTGTATATTAATTATGTTAACATGTAATGATTTATGATTAAGTGGACAAATATTCAAAATCTGTTTTATTTAGTCTATAACTCAATAAATATCAATGAATGTAAGTTCTTTGTTACTCTTAGTAATTTTTAACTTTAATAGTATAAACTGGTTCCTGAGTTAAAAAATTTCTGAGATATGTCAAATAGTATATATCTATATTTCAAAAAATGGTGACGTTAATAGACAATAATGTGCTAACATAATTAAAAATAAGAAAGCACTTTGAATAACATGTACCTTTTTTGTAAACATAATTTATTAAATTATATATGTATAAACACAAAGACAAACCAAGTATATATACAAACTGAACTTTTCACTTTTTAAAAACATGTCTTATGATTTATAAGCATGCTTTTAACATGGTATTTATTCTGCTTGACATGTTTTTCCCATACTTCTCACATGGTAAACCAGTATCAGAATTCAAGGTTTGGATTACTCCTTGAGTATTTCCTTATCACTCAATCATTCAACAGGAAAATGTTCTGCCCATCTATGCTATGCCATGAACTGTCAGGTTAAGGAACTCATACTCCCAGACACAGTCTACCGGCATCTGCTGCGCACACGGCACTACCACACCCAAGCCCAGGCATGGTCTACCGACATCTGCTGCACACACGGCACTACCACACCCATGCCCAGGCACGGTCTACCGACATCTGCTGTGCACACGGCACTACCACACCCATGCCCAGGCATGGTCTACCGACATCTGCTGCGCACACGGCACTACCACACCCAAGCCCAGGCATGGTCTACCGGCATCTGCTGCGCACACGGCACTACCACACCCAAGCCCAGGCATGGTCTACCGGCATCTGCTGCGCACACGGCACTACCACACTCATCATGCCAAACTATCCCTTACCATGGCTCTCTTCCCGGCTCCATCCTGGTCTGTCAAGGCATTTGTCTCCTGTCAAATTGTTCTTTACATATTTTGAGTGCTGATTTTTATTCAAAACAAAGGAGTTTTCTTCTCGCTTATGAGTAAATCTAAATAGTAACAAATAACTAGCATTTAAACTTCAGAACTCACATCCAAAACTCTTGTATACTCACCTCATGGGGCCATAGTTCAGCACTATAAATGCCAATACAATCATCACACAGACAGCTCTTCGCTTTGGACTCGGGACTTTAAGCCTCTGGTTCTAAGGGATATAAAAATTGGATAAAACTATAAGTCAACATTACAAACAGCAATAATTAAGAGTCCTCCTTTTTACAGGTGTATGAATACTTTTTCTCATAAAAAATAGTGAAAATAAAAATAAAAGACCTCAAAGGTAAAGAAGTGGTAGTTTGCAGAAGACTAGAGTCTTCCACATTCTCTTTCCCAAGAAAGGAAAGAATTTAAAGAACAAAAATGGCACAACTTTTAGCTTTGTATTTCTGTTGGTCCTGAGAATTCTGAGGACTCTGGCACTTGTCTCCCTTCACCAAGGCACTAGAGCATTCTCACACTCAGGGGCAAGACAGCGAGGACAGAGTGAGAATCAGCATTCAACAGGCATCCAGTGGCTCAGGGCTACAATGCTGTGTTTCACACAAAGCAGAAATAAACGTCTCTGAGACCATCGTGGCAAGAGAAAGCAAAGGAACATGATAGGGATCACGTGGACAAAGATTCAAAACACATTTTATTTTGTATTATTTCCTTTTTTAAAGGGGAAAATAAAAAGAGTTAAAAATGGAGTTACCCTACAATGAGGCAACAAGGCCCATAGACGAACAAAAATCCCAGAGCCAGGAATGGGTTACTTTTGGAGTTATTGACCAGTGAAATCCTATAGACTGTGCGCACCTAACACGCCCTAACCTGCAGGGGAGGGAAGCTGGTACGAAGCCTCCTCTCAGCCGAGGGGCTGACAGCACTTGTTAGCTGCTGTGGGAGGGAGAGTCGGTGTTTTGTAAGAAGGGAGCCCTGGTACTTTTGCCACGCTCCAAAGGAAGGTCACATACCCAAGAACATCTAGGCAGCACAAATTGGTCCATCTCAGTTTTAAAAAAGAGGACACAAAGCTGGATGGGGAGGACAGGTGGGATCTGGGAAGAGTTAGAGATAGGAGGGCTGGTATGACCAGAGCACATAGTGTGAAAGTCTCAAAGAATTAGTAAAGATAGGAAACAAGGGAAAGACCAGTTCTGTGTTGATTTCCATATCTATAATCCCTATACAAATTGAAATTCAACCCAGTGAACATGTAAGTCCCAGATCAGTTAGGGCTATATAGTAAAACCTTGCCTCAAAAATAACAAAAAATAATAAATTTAAAAAAATTGAAAGAATAATAATAAAAAGAATGAGCTGGCAGGATTGTTCAGGAACCTCAATGTGATTCACCTGTTCCAAAAAGATAAAAAGCTGGCATTGTGGCTCACATCTTTAATTCCAGCACTTAGGAAGCAGAGGCAAATAAATCTCGGTGAGTTCAAGGCCAGCCTGGTCTACATAGTGAGTTTCAGGACAGCCATGGCCTATATAATGAGTCTAAAAAACTAAGAAGAAAAAATGAGGCCATGTCTAAAAACAACTAAGAAGAAAAAAAGAAAGAAAAATGACTAAAGTAATTGTTTGGAAGAAACCCAAGAAAAGCAGATAGTGTTTGTACGGAGATGAAGAGGGACACTCAAAAGGTCACCTTTCACTGAGTTTTGGTGTAGCCCTGGGCTAGAAGGCTTGCTCAGCATGCTGGGGGCTCTGGACTCAATTCTCAGGCCCCAGGAGAAAAATATCTTTATAAGGTCATTGTTGTAATTTTTTTCCTACCATAAATGTTTTGTGCTTATTGCACCCCCATTTTCTTAGCACTACTATTTTATATTATTTAAAAAGTAATTATCAATTTACTTATCAAAAATAAAAAGAAAGTCAAGCCAGAAAGAGGTGGCTCTCGCTTTTAATCCCAGCACTTGGGAGGCAGAGGCAGGTGCAAGGCCAGCCTGGTCTACAAAGTGAGTTTAGGTAGACCCAGAGTTGTTACACAGAGAAACCCTGTCTCGCAAAACCAAAAGAAGAAAGAAGGTCAGTTTGCCCCGCCTCAGCCAGCTGCACCACGAGCACCCACCTCTGACACCACCTCATCCAGTTGTCGCTTCAGGGACCCGTTCTCCTTCTTCAGCTGCTCGTTCTCTGAAAGGGCAGCCTTCAACCTGGCCTCCAGTCCTAGCATATACTCCTTCTTCTTCTTGCGTGACTGACAAGCAGACTCACGGTTTTTTATCATCCGCTGCTGTCTCCTTAGCACAGCAATCTAGGAGAAGTTACAAGTTACAATGAATCATTGTACAGGTTTTGGGACAACATCAAAATATCAAAACCTACTAATTTTTCAAATTATTTCTAAACAACTTTGGTCAAAATATACATTAGTAGTTATCTAAAACACATTTAAAATATACTGCTCAAATTAAGTAAGCTCAGGTCAAATGAGTAAAAAGGCTTTCTCAAACCTAGTCACTGGGGTTTTCTGAAGCACAGTGCCGAGCATCTAGCTTGCCATTTAGAAAGGCCCCAGAAAGTGCCTCAAAGGAGCTATGTGAGGTAGTGCACACTGAAAATCCCAGGATTCAGGCAGGAGGACTCCTGCAAAGTTGAGGCAAGTCTGGCCCAATTTCTAAAAAGATAAGGAAAAACATCTGGACCAGTGAGATGGCTTAGTGTGTCAAGCACTGGCTGCACAAGCCTGAATGCTGAGTCTGATCCCCAGTACTATGTGGGTGGGAGGAGAGAACCAACTCTACAGAGCTGTCTCTGACCTCCACAATGACTGCCATAGAACACACACACACATCCCAGGGAGCACTGACCCACTCGCTTGCACACGTACATACACACACACACACACAATAATAGTAAAGTAAAATTTCTAATTATTTGAAGTGTCTTTAAATACATGCATATGGAATTTTATCTCAGTTTTATACATGAAGAGCTGGGTTTAGAACACCAGATACCAAAGCCTGCAAATGCTCGCCTCCCAAAATGCCTTAATATTTGCATACAGTCTACTTACACCTGCCTCATACTCCTAAACCAGCGGGTTTTCAACCTGTGGGTTACAGCCCCTTTGGCAAATCTTTATCACCAAAACAAAAATTTGACATTATGATTCATTTAGAGTTATGAAGTACCCACAAAAATGATTTTAAGGTTGGGGTCACCACAACATGAGGAACCGTGTTAACATGCTGCAGCATTAGGAAGGTTGAGGACCACTCACAACCATTGTTGGGTTACTTAATCTAATACATAGGCACAGTTGTTATGCTGTAACAAAGTTCTAGACATTTATAGTGTGGGTGCAACTTTCTTTTTCTATTTTCTACCTCAGAATGTTGAATCCATACATGCAAATTCAATGTATATGAAGGGCCAAATATCTATGCTGATTTAATCACCACTGCTGGTCTTAAATTAATTGACTAAGTTCTCAAACCCTAGATCCAATTACTCAGACTACTTCTCATGTTGAGTTGGTATCAGTACTTTTCCTCAGTAATACATATCTTTCAAAATACACAAGAAGCTAGGCTTGGAGGGACACACCTGCACTCCCCGCATTCTGGACTACAAACAGAAGGACTACTACTTCAAAGTCAGTCTGGCCCATATGAGAGACTGTCCCAAACCAAAAACACAAATAAGAACAATAACAGCAAACCTATGAAGATACCATTATTGTTTTATTCTATATAATTTATTGCCTCTTCCAATCCTTCACTCACCAAAAGTGTATTGAGTAGATGTTAATGACCAAGTTTATTTCAATGCAAACATTCTATTATCTCTCTCTAGTTCTGATGTCAACTCTCCTAAACAGGCATTCATGACTACATCCACAAACTATTGCAACAGACTCCTAGCCTTGTGGATTATCTTCTAGTCCATCCTGCCTACCAGTTGTTGATGTGGGAGTGTCATATCAATCTGTTGATTTCATTGGTTAAGTAATAAAGAAACTGCTTGGCTGGCCCTCATAGGTTAAAACATAGGTGGGAGGAGTAAACAGAACAGAATGCTGGGAGGAAGAGGAAGTGAGCTCAGACTCGACAGCTCTGCTCTCTGGAGCAGAGACGCCATGCTCCGCTCTCCCGGGCAGCCGCACGCGATGAAGCTCCGACCCAGGATGGACGTAGGTTAAGATCTTCCCTGGTAAGCCACCTCGTGGGCTACACAGATTATTAGAAATGGGCTAGTCCAGGTGCGAGAGTTAGCCGAGAAGAGGCTAGATAGAAATGGGCCAAGCAGTGTTTAAATGAATACAGTTTGTGTGTTGTTATTTCGGGGCATAAGCTAGCCAGGCGGCCGGGGTGCTGGGGACGCAGCCCCGCTGCTCATATTACAACAAGTTGTAAACTCCTCAAAATATCTTTGCCTTATTGGCACTCTGCTGCAAGAACCAGCTAGTCAGTTAACTATCCTAACTACCCATTTTCGCTTTCACCTCCTTCACTGAGAGCACTCACTACCTAACCACGCCTTCTCCTTAACTCCAGTCTCTACTCCATAATCTCCACAATATTTTTCCATTTTTATCCATACTGTTTATTCCCACTTAATGCCATCTCCTTCACTAACTTATTTCTAAAGTCCTCACCTCTTCAATTATTCTCATCTAATTTTTTATTTTCTCTGAATATTTTGTAGTCTTATAATTTGGAAGACACAGCAAAATATTCCAATGACTTCAATTGTTTCAACAATGCTAACTATGTTTCTTTCACTTATATTTTAGACCTTGAAAACTAAAGTCATATCTGATACTATTTTTTAATAACCAAAAATATCTACCATTATCACACTTAATTTTTGTTACATTTAAAAAAAAATACAATCTACTGTTACATAATTAGCCTAATTTTGTTTGGATAGCTGGTAAGAAAGCAATCCTCCAAAGAACATTAACTCCATTAGGTTATATACACAGCTGGATGAGTTACTGGTGTCTATGTGTTTCCCAATGGACTTCTTAAAGCGTCCTCCTACGGGTGCATCACAGCTCCGTCAGTAAATGTCCCACTACAGGTGCACCACAGCTCCATTGGTAAACACAATTACAGTTTCAGATGAGTTCCTTTTAAGAAAACTGTCTTGGTTAGGGTTTCTACTGCTATGATAAACACCATGACCAAAATCCACTTGAAGAGGACAGGATTTATTTCACATTACAGTTTGTGGTCCAGCATCCAGGGAACTCAGGGAAGAACTCAAGGCGGGCTCAAAGAGACTGAAGCGGCTACATTTCACAGAGACTACATGGGTCTGCGCTGGGTCCTCTGCACATATGCTATGGTTGTGTAACTTGGGGTTCCTGTGGGACTCCTAACAGTGCGAGTGGGCGCTATCTCTGACTCTTTTGCCAGGGTTTGGGACCCTTTTCCTCCTACTGAGTTGCCTTGCCCAGCCTTGATATGAGGGTTACTGCCTGGTCTTATTTATCTTGTGCCATGATTGATTGATGTCCCTAGGAGACCTGCTATTTTCTGGTCGGGAGAAGCAGAGAAAGAGGATCTGTGAGGGAGGGGGTGACAGGAGGGGTGGAGGAAAGGGAAGCTGTGGTTGGAATGTATTGTACAAGAGAATAATAAATAAATTTTTAAAATTTTTATAAGCATACATTATCTTGAAAATTATTGTATAAAGGAATATACAATTAAGAGTTGGACAAATAATTTGGGGATAAAAAAAAGAACTCAAGGCAGAAATCTAGAGTCAGGAACTGATGAAGAGACCATAGAATTTTCTCAGCCTGCTTTTTTATAGCACCCAGGACTACCAGCCCTGGGCTGGCACCACCCGCAATGGGCTGGGTCCTTCCACATCAATCACTAAGAAAATAGATCCCTGCCTTGCCCAATCTCATGGGGGCATTTTCTCAACTGAGGTTCCCTCTTCCAAAATAAACCTATCTTTTATCAAGTGGACATGAAACGAGCCAGCACACTATAATAGTAAACTTATAGCTTCCCAAATACTGTATTTCCTAGCAACAGTGGTAAACTATAACTAAATGATCTCCCAGCATCAAATACTGTCGATCATCTTTAGTAGGACACACAAAGAAACACATTCCATGAGTTGTCGAAATGGATGCTTTTTTTTTTCACTTTTAACTGAAACTCCACAAAGAAGGCTGATCTTACATACCAGCCATCACAATAGTTCCCAGTTCCATATATCTCTAGAACTGGTTTTGTTATTATTCCCATAACTGCTTACATTATGACGACTATCAAAGTAATACCAAATATACACAGATAGACAGAGGAAGGGAAAGGGGTAAAGGGGAGGGAGAGGGAGGGAGCAAACCCATGACAAATTGATTCCTCATCAATTTCAAAACACTCTTAGGACAATGCCACTTTGTTCAGTGAACATCAGTTTTAGGCAGCTTCATTTTTTCCTGGGAAAGCCAATGTCCATAATTAATACTTAGTACTAGGTGCTGAAGTACATGGAACACTGAGCAAACACATAAAAGAGAAGGTTCCCAGATGGAAGAATTTATACTAAAAGTTAGATAAAAGGCAACTTTAAAGGCTAATTAATCTATGGAATTTAGGGAGGCTTACAGATGGTACACCATTTAATAAATTTCAAACAAGGATTAGGCATTTCTATAAACAGAAAAAGCACCTGCACATTATACACAGCATGAAGATTTCAAAGGCTGTCAACCCACATGCCTCAGTCTAAAAAAAAAAAATGAAAACCACCTGTGGCCAAATAGTCTGTTTTTCTCATAGAAAAAGACCCATTGTAACAGTTCCGAAAATATCCAGCCTTACCAATAAAAGCAGAGTAAGAGCTGTATAAATAAATGAAATGCGCTAGAGTCAAAGAGTACAGGGCCGCTACTCTATCTCAGCAAGTGTCTGTAGCTACTGAATACACAATATTAAATTATGCTTCTTAGACCAAAAAGAGCATAAAAATAATTTTTAGACTACGCATACACACACCCTGGTGTTCTTGAGGGGAGTATTTGCTTTCGTTTTGTTTATATTCCGTCGGGTACACTGACTTTTTTGCACATATGATGTATCAGAATCATTCCCAGACAGAAGAATGGCAGCATAATACAACCCTATTTGTTCAATTACTACAGTTTTCCAGGTTCCTTTAAGGAAACCATAATCAAGCCAAGCATTATAGCATACACCTGTAATCCCAGCGCTTGTGAAGCAGACGAGAATTGTTGTGAGTTCAGGGTCAGCCTGATCTACAGAGCAGGTTTCAAGCTAGTCAGGGTTACACAATAAGACTATGTCTCAAAAACAAAGTAAAATAAAAATAGTTAATAAATAAAATGTCTCATTTGAACCACTGTTAGAGAATAGACAAATCAAGGCATGAATAGAGGTGAGCTGACTTCAAACCTCTTGGAACCTATTTAGTAGCTCCACCAGGCTTTGATGGACCACAGAATCACAGCATAGACGGAGTGCTGTTTAGCTACTCGAATTATGTGCTGTCTAGAAACAGAAACTTACGGAACTGCCTACGTCTGGAAGCTAGCTCATCACTGTGAGCTTTCTGTACAAACATGAAATTGAGGGACTGGCTCACTAGTTCACTGATGCTCCCCCATCAAGGCACATCAGATGGTTTAAAAGACCAAATGGGCCAACGGGTAGCCTGTTCCTGCTGCTGAGCATCCTGCCTTCAGAGGTCTCTCCCACCAAGCACCACGCCTTGGAAAAAGAATAAAGAACTGAAGGGAAACATCCACAGCTGCAAAGGATTCACCCACTAGTGCCACTGCACTATGAAGTGTGTTTTCCTTATAAAACAAACATTTATTTGCATATAAGAGACTTATGTAAAAGGAAAAATTTCACAAATGACTAAGTTCCTTTTGAAACTTGGATCAGTTTAAAAGGCAAAGCTTCAAAACTGCCCACATTTTGTTTTTAATATTAAAAGCTTTACCAACTGATAAATACTTTACTTAAAACCCCTTGACAAACAAAATGATGTTTAGAGCCTTAAGTCTAAGATGCTGCTAAAAAAACCCAAAAAAAAAAAAAAAACATGTGCTGCAAACACTATAAACTATGGCAGGATGAGAGTGGGGTACTTCTATGCTTACAAACACATCCAAACATCTCAGGCAAGCTCAGTCCAGAACAAGAACAGCACGCAGTCAGAGAACAACTCTGTTATTGGGGAATATTATTTTTAGGTGTGTGACTTTTGTTTATGCTGCATTTGTTTAACTCTGTGAAGCTGTGTTGCTGTGCCTGTCTAAAACACCTGATGGTCCTAATAAAGCCATGAACAGCCAATAGCAAGGCAGGAGCAAAAGTAGGCAGGGCTAGCAGGCAGAGCAGAAATAGAAGGAGACATCTAGGAGGAAAGTGAAGGAGGAGCAACGAGAGAGCAAGGAGAGGAAGACATGAGGGGCCAGCCACCCAGCTACACAGCAAGCCATGGATAAAGAAGTAAATAAAGGTACATGATGTGGGATTCCCTTCTGTATGCTGTGATTTCCATTAATGAATAAAGAAACTGCTTTGGACCTATAGCAGGGCAGAACTTAGGCGGGGGGGGGGGGGGGGGGGGGGGGGGGGCTGAATGCTGGGAGAAAGAGGGCAGAGTTAGAGAGAAGCCATGGAGCTGCTGCCGGAGACAGACACACTGAAACTGTGCTGGTAGGCCACAACCTCATGGTGATGCACAGATTAATGGAGATGGGCTAAATTAAGATGTAAGAATTAGCAAATTAGAAGCTAGAGCTAATGGGCCAAGCAGTGATTTAAATAATATAATTTCTGTGTGATTATTTTGGGTCTGAGCTGCCAGGTGGAAACTAAGGGCCTCCTTATAACAGGTATACACAAATAGAAAGATAAAAGTTCAGAGGCAAAGGTAGTTAGGATAATTTAAGAATAAGGCCGGGTATTTATAATTAAGAATAAGCCTCCATGTGTAATTTATTTGGGAGCTGGGTGGTGAGCCCCCAAAAAAGTCAAGAGTAAAATATTCCACAGCACTCTGTGGAGTGGATTCTCTTCTAACCTTCATGGGTTCCAGAATCAGATTTAAGACTCTGGTCACCAGGCTTGTGCAAGTGCTAAGCCCACTGAGCTAAGTCACTGAACAGACTGGCTCTTTGTTTTTTTGTTTGTTTGTTTGTTTTTTTATTTATTAAAGATTTCTGTCTCTTCCCCACCGCTGCCTCCCTTCCCTCCCCCTCCCCTACTCAAGTCCCCCTCCCTCGTCAGCCTAAAGAGCAATCAGGGTTCCCTACCCTGTGGGAAATCCAAGGACCACCCACCTCCATCCAGGTTTAGTAAGGTGAGCATCCAAACTGCCTAGGCTCCCACAAAGCCAATACGTGCAGTAGGATCAAAATCCCATTGCCATTGTTCTTGAGGTCTCAGTAGTCCTCATTGTCCGCTATGTTCAGCGAGACCGGTTTTAACCCAGGCTTTTTCAGACCCAGGCCAGCTGGCCTTGGTGAGTTCCCGATAGAACATCCCCATTGTCTCAGTGTGTGAGTGCACCCCTCTTGCTCGTGCTCTCTCTTCTTGTGCTCCTGATTTGGACCTTGAGATTTCAGTCCGGTGCTCCAATGTGGGTCTCTGTCTCTGTCTCCTTTCATCGCCTGATGAAGGTTAATATTCAGGAGGATGCCTAATATGTTTTTCTTTGGGTTCTCCTTCTTATTTAGCTTCTCTAAATTATATTATGGCTAGAAACCAAATATGAGTGAGTACATCCCATGTTCCTCTTTTTGGGTCTGGCTTACCTCACTCAGGATAGTGTTTTCTATTTCCATCCATTTGCCTGCAAACTTCAAGAAGTCCTTGTTTTTTACTGCTGAGTAGTACACTAATATGTATATATTCCATACTTTCTTCATCCATTCTTCAATTGAAGGGCATCTAGGTTGTTTCCAGGTTCTGGCTATTACAAACAATGCTGCTATGAACATAGTAGAGCATATACTTTTGTTGTATGATAAGGCCTCTCTTGG